TCGTGAAGTTGAACCCACTCCCCACACAGTCCATAGCAGCTGATAAGCTGAAGGTCTTCGCTCTCCCAAGGGAATGTGCATTTTCAGGGGACTCACAACTGAAGAGTCAAAACTTAGGATCTGACAAGGGAGCAAAGGGTTGTGAGGACGAAAGAGACCAGGCTGCAAAGCCATGCCCACACGTCTGGCCCTAAGGGAATGCCCTGGAAATGTCAGTTCTTATTACTCCCCCCACCCCACCCCGAGGCACACAAAGCAGCCATTACAAGTGGCAGGCAGCTCTTGAGCTACAGTTCAGGTTCACAAGCCAGTGTTCAGAGCAAAAGGGAGGGGTCCACTTTTGTTTGGAAAAATAAATATACCCGCATGCATGCCCGATGATTTCATCTCTGTGTTGTTGCTCTGCCCTGTGGCGGTGCCTGTGTTCATCTGGGACTCACCCCTACAGAGACTCGGGGTTCCCTCCACTCCAGCCCAAAGGGGTTTCAGTGGGAACCTCTGAGCCTGTGAAAGGGTGTACACCCCACTGCCCACTAAATTTCCCCCCAGACGGTCTCTGACTCCCTTCCCACTCCTTGGCCCAGTGTCTGGAAGTTCCTGCCTGTCCCCTCCCCCCAACCCACCCCTCTCCCTTTTCACTACACAGCCTAACTCAGCAGACTCCAAAACCCAGGAGCTCTGAGTCATAGATGCCCTTTGCCAAGAGGAGCCACTTTAGCAGCCTTTTGGGGGAATGATAAATAAGAATGTGTTAAACCTGAACTATGTGGGTTGTTTTTCAGTGGAATATTTATTGATGATGTGCTAGTGGCCCATCAGCCAAAAGATACATTGGAAACCAGAGTTAAAGCAAGGGTTTAAATACAAAGAGTTTAAATGCCTGTTTCAGGAAGGACCCTGTAGAGGAGGAGCCAGCATGGCTAAGACAGATCAAGGCCAACAGGCCCAGAGCCTTCCCCTCCCCCCCACACTCCCCACCTCCCCTACCCTCCCAGAGCCTGGATCTGGTGCAGGGGGCCAGACAAGCCAGGCCACCTGAAGTTTGCCCGAGCAGAAGGCTGCTCGGATCTGGGTTACCGGTGCTGCCTGTTGTGTACTAGGAAGAGCCACGAATGAGACCACAGAGCCAACAATTTCTGCTCAGACTTTGGACGATTTCGGCAACCAGCATGGCCCGGATAGAGAAGACTTGAACACCAGGCTAGAGCTGGATTTCAGCTGATAACGGGACCTTTTACAGTTTTGAATGGCCATTGTACTTGGACACCAAACAGACACTAAATAGCTGACAGTGCACTATTACTAGCATAATTTTGAGCAAAGTATTCCCGCTTTGATTGAGATTAAGAAGCATTATACAGCTAAGAAGTGACAGTAGGGATTTGAACCCATGTCCATACAAATTCAAACTCAGAGCTTGGAGTGTTTTCACCACCTGCAGAGCTGCGGTCTCAGAATCTACTGCCCAGCATCTAGTTTTTACCAAAACTGTTCAGCAGTGGTGGTGGGGGAGGAGGGGGGGCATCAAAAGAGGTTTTGAATAGATAATAAAATTCAAAGTACACAACAAGAGTTTCCCCCAACTCCCATCCCTGCGTAAAGGCAACTACCATTGTTATGTAGTTTAAGCATTTCCTATATAAACATTTGATATGTGTAAATCTGTATGTACATGCTTCTGGTGAATTAAAGGTGGTCACAAATTCTTTGCCAGTTTTTCTCATGGACCCAGCCAACGCGAATCAAAAGAGCAAGGTGCTGGCTTTAACAGCCCCCAATGCACTCCCAGGTAACAGCAAGCCCTTGCCCTGAACAAGTCCACAAGGCCTAGAACCAGCCAGCAGAGTCAGTCAGTCCAGGGAATTTTAACATTTATTCCGGACACTAAGTTTTAAGGTGGTTTATTATGTAGTGATACACTCAACAAAGGCCAGCCTGAACTTTGAAACCAGATAAATGTGGTTTAATTCTAGCTCTGTCTTTTCCTGGCTGGGTCACCTCGGGTCTGTCTATAAGTCTCAATTTTACGACTTGTGAAATAGATCTAATGAAATGTGCCTCATAGGCAGATGTGAGCGATGAGAGAAATCCCTCAATGAATGTGTTATTTTCTTTCTAAAATAAAAGCAATGAAATTTCTAGTTTCACCAGAAAAATATCTGGAAGGGTAGAATATAACATGTTCCTAAAGGTTATTATTTTGCTGTCCTTTAATGTAGAAAGCTGCATTTATGCATCGAGTCCACGAGAGTTGTTTAGGCATTTACTATGTGACTGGCCCTGGGATGAGATGCAAGACAGTAAGTAGTGTCCAGAGGGGTTAATCAAACCGTTCCACTGATAGTTGAAATAATCATAAGTGCCGGAATTCTAATAAAAGAAATCAGAAAAAAATCCGATAGCAAAACCACTTGAAAGTTCTGCACCAAGACAATGAGATCGGATTACTCTGCTGCTGAAAGCACAGGAGTACAGGATGAATGACCGGATGGCAGAAATCCGCCCACCACAGACCGCGGGTGAGGCCGGGTGGGGGTAGGCGGAGTTGCCTGTGTCTCCTCTAAATCCCCGCCGGGAAGGCGCCCACCGCGCTGCAGGTGTTCGGCCAGTTCACCCTGCAGACGCAGAAGCCGCGCGTCTGGCAGGCCAGGAGGTGCCGCTTCCCGCGCGGCGGTGGGAGCGGGAGCCCAGCCCGGGATCCGCGTGGCAGCTGCAGGCGCAGCAGCGGCCACCGGAGGGCGGCCACCTCGCCCCCAAATAATATTCCCCTGTGTGACTATATCACTTAATTATCCGTTCTTCCATTAATGGGCATTTGGTTGTTTTCACCTTCTGGCTAATGCAGCTATGAAAATCCATGCATGGTGAAAATCCGTGCGTGATTTGTGTAGCCACGTTTCGTATTCCTGGGAGTGGAATGGCAAGCCTCGTGAAGTTGAACCCACTCCCCACACAGTCCATAGCAGCTGATAAGCTGAAGGTCTTCGCTCTCCCAAGGGAATGTGCATTTTCAGGGGACTCACAACTGAAGAGTCAAAACTTAGGATCTGACAAGGGAGCAAAGGGTTGTGAGGACGAAAGAGACCAGGCTGCAAAGCCATGCCCACACGTCTGGCCCTAAGGGAATGCCCTGGAAATGTCAGTTCTTATTACTCCCCCCACCCCACCCCGAGGCACACAAAGCAGCCATTACAAGTGGCAGGCAGCTCTTGAGCTACAGTTCAGGTTCACAAGCCAGTGTTCAGAGCAAAAGGGGGGGGTCCACTTTTGTTTGGAAAAATAAATATACCCGCATGCATGCCCGATGATTTCATCTCTGTGTTGTTGCTCTGCCCTGTGGCGGTGCCTGTGTTCATCTGGGACTCACCCCTACAGAGACT